AACCCCGGCAAGCGCATGTTGCACTGCCTTGTGGTTCTCCAAATCCCCCATCCCAGGTCCATCTCCGTCTCTCCTCTTCCGCTCATGTTCCGTCGGAAGATCCTATGGTAATATATTCACGGGTCATATCATCGGATATGGGAATCGTTATTCGATCTCTTTCTTTGGTCAGAGATTGGTGAAGTGCTTCGGCAAGATAGTGGGCTTTAAATGCCTCCATCATGTTGGCTTGACTTCGCTCATTACATATGTCCTTAGCACTTCTGGAAGTCTTTCCGTGCGATCTGCCATCGTCTCTCTCTGTGAAGTCGGTTGGCAAATGATCTCCGTCGTCGGCTTCAACCGTTTCGGAGAAGCGGATGCTAGGAGTACGAAGATCTCTCCAAGCTGTCTCGCTCTCTTCTTCTCATTGACGGTGAGCAGATGGTCTCCGCATCACTGTCTTCCTCATTGAGAGTCCCGCATAGAGATTCGGCGTCGCTTTCGGAGTCGTCACCTCGAGTTGCCATTGGGATGACTGGTGCAGCCTTACCTTCCTTCTTCGCCTTTCCTTTTCCATCTGAGCTCGCGCCCAATCCGGATGCAGCGGAGCCGCTTCTGATGGAGCTGCACTCTTGAGATGCTTGTACTTACAACTACTACCTTTTTTGCATGTTCCTTTCTTCCAGAAGAAACACACTCCTCCGCCATCATCCTTGCCCTTCTTGGGACTAGGAGAAGGCGACCGAGGGGCTCTATTTTGTTCTTGGCCCATCGATCTTTCCACTCCTGAGGGTAGTGGTATGACTTGTGGCCGAATTTGCATTTATCACCTTTTGAGCACTCGTTCAGGAAGAAGCAAGGTGTTGTGGAATCCCCAGTCTTCCTTGGAGCGGACGGGGATCGTCCTCTAGACTTACCTCTACCTTTGGGGAGCGCAGGAGCCGCCTCTTTGGGTGTTGGAGGCTTAGGCTGCGATGCCTTTCCTTCCTTCGCCTGAGGTTTCTTGCTCTTCTCCTGCTTGGGGGTAGAAGGCGCGGCGTGCCTGAGGTCCCTGAGGGTCCTTTCCTTGCTCTCCCAATTTCTGTCTTCTCTGTGTTGCTTGATCCTTCTGTCCATACATCTCATTAAATGTTCATAAGATCTGCGAGAATCGTCGCTCTCCATAGCGGCGTACAGTTGGAGATCAATCTCCAGGGCCTTAGAGTTGTCCCTCAACTTCCTGTAAAGAATGTCTCTCAGCTGAACGTCGGAAGGTCTCTCTTCGGGATTCATGTTTGCAAGAATGTCCAACCATTTTCTGTTTGAACTCTTGCATTTTCTTGCCACCCGTATACCTTAGCCCGTACAAATGTTCGTCCTGAAGTTATCGCAATCATCTGGCGTCCTTTGACAGGTTTACCTAATTTGATGTTCTTTGACATCAATGCCTGAATCTCCGTTGCCACTTCCAAGGCGACATCACCGGAGTTCTTTATCATCTTATCCGTGGCAGTCACCAATTTGTGATCAATGCCCGAGAATATAGATGACTCACTGTCAGCCAGTTGTTCAACACTAACTTTAGGGTCGAAGGATTTGGCTATCCATGCCGTCCAGGCATCTCCGTCGGCATCTCCGCATGCCGCTAGTACGCCTCTCGTCAGGCGACTCTTCCAAACGTCGAGTTGGTCTATTCTTGGCCATGCAGGAACGCTAACTGATTCAGCTTCCTTCCGAGAGATCTTATCCTCAGATCCCCGACCAGCGGTGGTTCTGGGAGATCCTCCTCCGGTAGCGGTGAGGCCCGGAGGTGGCGCTGGGGTACCTGACCCCGTCGCCCCCATCCGGTCCCTGGTGATGATGGTCTGGGGTGTGTCAGTCCAAATCCCGGAGTTGGTTTAGGGGATGCAGCGTCTCCGCTAACCTTCGAGGAGTCCCTCCATTCCCCAAGTTCCTTTTCAACATCAAGCAATCGCTCCTGGATCTGGTCGCACTCATCCCTGACCTTATCTCTTTGCTCTCTGTACCTTTTCATTGCCTTAATCTCGTCAATGTACGCATCTTCGACTTTGAAATTGGCTCGGCTCGCAACTGCACTGCGTTTGTCTCGTGAGTGATTAGCTATTTCATTAGCAGTACTCACCTCGGACCGCATGTAGCCCATTATCCTATCCATACCTTGCATCTGCAGCGGAGAAGTGGCCCGATCTTCGGCCGCTTTGAGCCAATAGCGATGCGTCGGGAGTCCTTGCCTGCTCCCTTAGCTCCTCACGCTGGGAAGCTAGGAAACGACTTTCGTTCTCCTCGACCAAGAGTTTGGATAGCAACAAATCATACTTCATGCTAGCCTCTCTCTTCACTTCATCAAACTCGCCATTCATCAAGATTGCAGTTCTCGCCTCCGAAGCTCGCACCTCGTTGGCGGCAACCTTTCTGGCTTCTTCTATCAATTCCATTGCCATCTGTCCTTCATCCATCCCTCTGATGGTGCCCCTCAATGCGTGGATCACGTCCGCTTGCGTTTTCTGAGCTAACTCATATTCCTCGCTCTTCTGGAGCGTTGCACTACGATGTTCTTCCATCATTGCATGCTCCACTCTCGCGACTTGATCAAGCTTGGTTCTCAACTGAACAACCTCATGCTCACGTGATTCCAGATTCCTCTTTGAGGCTTGGGCACCCCTTTCAAGCTTGATGCCCTCCTCACTCATTTCGGCTTTCTTTCTTTCACTCTGATTCCACTTTCTCTCTGCGGAGCTCATGGCATTCTCCACCAACGCAATCTTGCCTTGGTGATCTTTAGCCATGTCACTGAACTCAGTCTTCAGCTCATTCCTCTCCCGGAGGAATTGAGCCATCGGATGCAGTTCGCAGCAAATTGGACTCAGCTGCCTGACTCTTTTGGGTGAATAGGTTAGCCTGTTCAAAGGCCACGTCTCTCGCCCTTTCGAGTTCCTTTATCCGAATCGTTCCGCATCTCCGCGGATTCCGTCTCATCAGACGGTCTGGCTCTCGGTGTCGCTATTTGTCTCGACACGCCCATATTCCCATCATCCACAGTCTGAGATGATACTGTAAGACCACCAATGGGGGTGACCACGGCTGAGGGATCACCTCCACTCACAGACAATACTATTGATTGTCCGCTTCCTGCGCCGGACTCCGGCGAAGCATTGCCGGAAAGTCCTGTAGCCGGCGCCGCTCTACCGGTGGAACCGAATGTCATTGCGGAGTCGGATCCTCCGTCTCCATTTGGATTGGTCATTGAATTCACTGAGCGATCAGCGCACAAAAGCAGAGAGATAAATAAATATATATATATAATATATGGTCACACCCACCCCCATGATCTACCTTGATTGCTTTATGCTCAAAAAGTACTGTAAATTACGATATATATATATATATATGTTTGAGGGACCTCCAGGTATTATTTGCCGGGTGGACCTGCCCAATAGATCAACGGCCTGACGAATCGCCCTAAAGCTCCTGGCCTTGAGCCATGAGTCAATTCGGTGTCTTACATGGTTGGTAGGATTAACAGCCCAAAAAGTGGGCAACGCTTTGCTACCCATTCGCAGTTACACGGGATTTGCGCAATTTATTTCTGATTCTTTTGGAGCTCCATGATTTGGGGTATGTTTGTTTTCACGTGTTTCGAGCCATTTCGGACTTTGGGATGCTGGGATGCAAGCAGAAACGGCCCTTAGAACGGCAAATTTGCGGCTTCTGCGCACTTTGCTGGTACCAGCTGGCCTGCTCAAAAACATCCCCAGCATCGTCATCCCGGAGGTCGTGGCCAGTTTTTCCTTGGAGATTTTGTCGGGCACGAACCTGTTTGGCTCGTGCCCGAAAACCATGGACCATTTCTACCACCTGTAATTCGCCAATAGCGGGTTCATGGTTCTTGCAATGCGGCGCAGGTGCATGCAAGAAATGATTTCCTTGATGTTTGGTACTTTCGGGGGTCTGCCTGCTGTATGTTTTGCGCTCTTTCGGAATTCGCCAAGGTACGGCCTGTTCAAAAACAACCCCAGCAACATAGCTATTGCTGAGTCAGCTTGGCGGCACAAGTGTGGATTTGTCTGAGCTGGTTTGTCTTATGTGGCTTAAGGATTCATGCAGGAAAGATTGCGCTTGTCGCATGTAGCTGTGCAGCCCCAGCATCTCTGGCCGATATTGCTTTCTCATCCCTAGGCGTTTAGTCGTTGTGCTGGGCTGTGTTTGTTCTATGGGATAGTGTGTGCTCTGAACACCCATTACAAACGTGGTTTGTTGCTTCTGTTGGTTCCTTTAGGCAAACTGGGGCTGGCAGTATCTGCGTCACATCCCCTTGAACTTATCCCCTTGAACTGAAACTCCAGCCGCGAATAGCGTCGGCGGCTGGTGTAGCGAGCTTAATATGACACACCGATACTAAACACAGACCTTCGGGCCCAGAATTATTAGGGGGCGCCCCAGAACCTTACCCACACCCATACTTACCAATACTAAACAAATGCAACTGATACTGCGAATGCTAACCCTGCATAAAAACCAACAAAACATCATGTAGTTCCCGACATTGCCAAATGAACGGGTCCGCTTTTATACCGACTCAAGGCGCCTGGTTTGACACAGCGATGGCAGCAGGTTCAGGGGCTTAGGGCTCACTGTTTCGCATCCTCGGGGGGGGTCCCCTGAACCCAGCTGATCCAACGCTTGCGGCAAAGCCCGTATTTCCCGCCTCGGCAGGCAGCTGTTCCCCAACCTCTTGTTAGGGAATCAGCTAACATCTGGGGCACTTGCGGTTGTAGAGGTCGAACAGGGCCTGCTCTGCCTCGGGCTCTTGGTGTTTGACCACCATCACTGACTCGCCACCTCCCAGCCGGGTGGGGTGCTCTGCGGGTCCAGCACTTCAATGGACATAGCCAGAATCCATTCAAGTTCTGCAAGCCCGGCATCCATGGCCAAGGCTTCGCTTCCCAAAGTCGCCTTGGCCGCCCGCTTCAATCTGGCAGACCGCCAGCTTCTCAGGGTCCAGTCAGCCACCATGATCTTCAGCCACCCTGGCTCTTCACATTCCCGTTCGCCACGCTAGCATCGCTGGCGGCCATCCACACCGACTGGTCCAGGTTGATCGGAAGGATCCTGATGCCCACGTCAGAAGTTTCTGCCTGATTGACATACAGGGTGTTCTGAATCGTTGGGCCGCCCTTATCCCATGACATGGACATAGCACACGCTGCTCCCATGTCTGGTCGTCCTTCTTTTCCCACCCACAGCAAAGCTCCGCCGGCCCCACGTGGCAATGATGTCTCAGCTTCTGTCAGGAATTCCGTGGCCTGTCGGAGTCGCTTGCGGGGTGGCTTGCTCTCTGTCAGCTTCTCCTCGATGTACCGGTGCATGCTCACCTGAATCTCAAAGTTCTCCAACTGCCTGACGGTCCGTCCGATGTAGTCATCAGCTCCCATTGTAGATCTCTCGCCACTTGCCGCAATTCAGCTTCGTCTTCAGCTCCTCCATCTTGCTTTGGTGGCGACCATTGCCTCCCTGAGCAAAATCATCTACATCAAGTAGTACCAGACCAGCCACTGCCAGGATGGTGCCGTCCACGATGTCCTCGCGCTTCACCGGCAGGTAGAACAAACATGGGTCGACGGAACTCTTGAAGTACTCCAAGGTGAGTAGGATTCTTCCCACCGTCTTTCGCCAGCTCGCTGGAGCGTTAACTAGGCCGTAAACAGCCGCGTGGGTGCGGACGAGGAGATGCCGAGCCACCCCTGGTATGCCACTTGGAGGTTGTGAAGCGTGTAGCGGTCCTTGTTGGCGTTCCTCGGCATCAGATTGTCCAAATGCACTGGGCACATCCATGATCGCCAGCTTGAACTTCATGCTGCTGATCAGTTGCAAAGTCAACATCACCGTAGGAGTCGCCGGTGTTGGTGCGTATCTTTCCAACTCCAACGTGTCAGGGTCTTTGTGTCCAAGCAAGATCCACTGGGCCTTCGCCTTCCAAGTTTGTCCAACCTCGCCCTGCTTTCGCGTCAAGATGTACCTTGACGGGATGATCCGGGGTGCTTCAGCTCCTGTGCTACCCCCCAGTAGGCGGGCGGGCGGAGAGTGGATGCCCCGTCTTCCCTCGCCGTCCCTGCTTGATCCGCATCACCTCCGCCTTGTCCGTCACCACCAAGACCGCGTTGCTCTGCACCAGGGTATCGAACTCTCGCTTCTTTGCCTCGTCGAAAAGCTTCATCTCCTGCTCAGAGAACTTCTTCTCATCCAGTTCCTTCCCGGACTGCTTGGTGAGGAACACATAGTCCGTCTTCATGATGTCGTTCGAATAGAACACGTCCTGATTCTCCAGCTGCTTGAGGATCATGATGTCTCGAGCTCCAGCCATCACCGGGTAGTTCTTCTTGTTCCCCGCTCAGTGCTGTGATCAGCTTTCCACTGAGCGAAGAGCCGTGGTCTCGCCACTCCCAAAGATGATCCACTCGATCCATCAGGCGCACGCTTCATGCGATGATCCAACATTCTCGCGCCCTCTTGAACCACGATCTCACCCTTCTGGGGCCGTTCCACCACAAGTCCAGATCGGGGTTCGAACCTCGGAGCTTGTAATAAAGCTCCGTCATGATGCTGCTCACTCCAGCTGGCAGGAGTCTATACAGCGCACCCTTCTTCATGTCTTGAACCTGCTCATGGCCCGTGGTGGCCGGTGTTCAGGTCCGTAGTCACCCTTCGAATGACATCTTCCCAGGCAGGTCCATCTGCGTTTGACGTTCTGAACCTCCTGGCTCCAAAGTCGTACCTGGCCCAAACCCTTGCCCCATCTGATGTTCCCTCCGCGCTGGCGCCCTGCCGTGCCATAGGTGACCTTGATCTCAGGCGTTCCCAGATTAGGGCTGACAGCTGTCTCAGCTGGGCCTTCACTTGTTTGCGTCGGTGTTTCCATGCTAGGTGGTCGTGCTTGTTGTTTGACAGGGTCGTCAGGTGCAAATGGGTGGTTTCCAAAAAAGGGGTCCCTTTTTGGTACCCCCATTTAGTGGGGGCCCGCCTTCAAAAGGGGCCCAACAAGGGGTCAGTATTTTTGGCAACCTCCCAAATAGCTCTCGCAGGTCCTCGTCGCCAGTGGTGTCCACATAGCCCAGCTTCTCGCCATCAACCCGGATTCTCCCCTTGGCGTTCAGCAACTCCCTGTCGAGAAGTTGTAGCCCCTGTTTCTCCAGGTTGGGCATTGCTATTGCACTTCCACAGCTCGCCTCGTCGAGTCACCCACGCAGTGCTTCCCTGCCGGGGCACTACGAAGCAAGGTCCGACCTTTGCCGAAGTTCCACGCTTCCCGAATCGCCAAACACACACTGGTTCTCCTTGAGAGGAGGTGTGCCCCTCACGGGCTCGTCGCGGTTGCGCTTGTAGCGCCCTTTGAATTCGAGACTTTGAGTCCACATCCATGAGCGCCATTCGAGCAGCCTTTCTCACCTCTTCTGCTCGATGCCAACTCTGATCCAAAGTGTGTGAGAGCTCAAAGGTGTTGCCATCGGTCAGCATGTCCAGATTCAAGGCGCTGTTCCCCCAGGACGCGTTGAGCTGTCGTATATCCAGATCTGTTGGTCATGGTCTGCAGCGCCCAGCTGACCTCGAAGATGAGCAATTCCACCTCATCTATGTCGTTTGGTTGAAGCAGCTCCCGCGTCCGGTAGTGATTCCATTTTGGTGTGGGCTGTCCCGGTCAATGATAAGTGGTTGTGTGCCTTGACGTTCACATCCCCTTTGAAAGTCCTTGCCAACGAGCTCGTTGCCCTGATCCATCAACCATGTAGGCGGGGGGCACGGAACACTCGGAGCCGCAGTCGAATGAAAACTTTCCACGTCAGCGCTCCGGATCTCCGATTCACGTCGATGAGGCCGAAGGCCGTGTACATCGTGCCGTGGCCTGCGATGTTCAGCACGGGGTGCTCCAGGTGGTTGCCCACGCCAATCAGGAACAACACATCTACCCCTATGATGATGTTGAAATCAAACGCAGAAACTTGAAGTGGCCGTCCCCCCTCCTTGCACATCCATCGCAAATGATCTCGCTCTGGACGTACCTGATGACGTCTGGTCGGCACGCAGCAAACGTATGAAGTCCCGGACTTGTGGACGTTCAAGATTCACATGGGCACGTAAAACGGCTGCTTTCTCCTGGTAGGTGAGGTCTCTCTGTTGACCGTTGTTCATCACGTAGATTTCCATGGGCGTGTGTCTAAACACCGCGACCACCGTTGGATATCTCACTTCCAACTTGGCAACCTCCCCTTCTCGCATGCGTTCCAGGAAGACCCGCTTCCCGTCAGCCGGATTCTCCACCACCAGCCCCAAACAGTCAGGGCTGACCGTTTGGGCCGGGGGGGGGGGGCTTTTTAAGTTACAGACCAACACTACTAGAGAATTGGACACCAAGCGCCCAGCCTCTGCTCACGATCTGACTGCTCACGATCTGACAGAAGATAGGCCCAGTCATCTGATGGACCATGTTCCCTTGCAGCCATCCGAGCAGCCCGGCGCAACTTGTTCTCCCAGGCCAAAACGTCTGCCAAGGATGTGCTGTCCAGAAAAAGATGCAGCTGCCACACTTCCACAGGCTCTGCGATCACTTCCAGGTAGGCCCTGTGGTACATGATGCTGTAGATCCGTCCGTGCGGGTCCAACTGGAGGAGCCCGATCCTCTTCACCGCCAGGGCTGCGATGTCATTCCACATGAACCACTTGGGCCGAATGCCGGCCTGATGTCTCCAGCGATCAGGCATCAGCTTGCCAAATGATTTTTCCTGCTGGTCCCACGCATAGTGCAAGCCGTTGATGATGGCCTCCACGAATGCTTGGTGTAGATCGCCGCCGGAGCCGCTCGTGCTGGTGTTCATGTCCTCAATCACCGCATTGGCATTTCTTCATCAGGTGGTAGTAGATGCCGTCTGACGTCGTTGCCCAGGTTTCTTGTTGAGCCCGAACCAACAAAGGCGAGATCGAGCCAACTTCGCCGCAGGCTTCAGCAGGAACTGCTTGACAGATTCTTGCCTCCATGAAGTTGCTGACGTCGGGTGTTCATGTAGAGATAGTCCGTGGCGCTAGTACTGGTCCTTCTGCAGAATCATGCTGTAGTTCAGGAAGTTCATCGCCTCCAGCCACTGGGGGTCGTTGGGGCCTACTCCACCAGATAGCTGCTGTAGCTGTGACAACATCCGACATGGGGAACAAGTGACCAGCAACAGCGGTGCTCGGCGTGAAAGTTCTTGCCGCAATCGCCGCTGACCCTCCGGATTGGCAAGGCCCACGCCCGCGCACACGTTCGCCGAGAGTGCTGCTCGTGATGAAGAGCTCGTTGTACCCAAAGATCGCGGTCTTGAGCTCCGCTACCATGTAATTTCCGACATTGCTGAATGAACGGGTTCCGCTTTTATGCCGACTCAAGGCGCCTGGTTGGACACAGCGATGGCAGCAGGTTCAGGGGCTTAGGGCTCACTGTTTCACACATCAACACCATGCAGGATTTATCGCTATTGAGTTTCCTTTTTCGGAAATGGCCCTTTCGAGCTGTTTTCGGGCCCTGGAAGGCGGAAGCCTACTACGTGTATTGACCCTGCACTAAACAGAATTGATCAATCAGAGTGTTTTTGTCCCCTCTGGAGTTTGTCCTACAAGCAACTGATAAACTCACAAATTTGGCACTTTTCTGGGTGGGAATGCAACACACAACGCACATCCGACCCCTAATGACCCTATTAACAAATATGTTTTTCCCAGAAAGTATCTCTTATTAGGGTGGCCAGTTCTCATGCTGAGGGGAATCCGATTAATTAGGGATTGAACTAAAGAAGCAACTATCTTGCGCAACGGGACCTCGCCGGTCGGCCTGCAGCTGCCGGCAAGGAAATGTCTGCATAGGACAGTCTTCCTTCTCGTGAATTGCGTGACCTTCTTAACCAAGCCCTGAGGGAACATGGCCTTGAGCGCTTCCTCTGGCCGGTGGTCATTGACGCGAAGGACCCGGGGGGTGCCCGTGGTCAGTCGAATGAGAGCCCGCGGGCAGGCCACCAGAACCTTCCTTGGTGGCTACAACCCCCTGCGCCAAAAGTTTGACTTGTTGGTGGTTTAGTGGGAAAACTCTCCTTCCCTCAAAAAGTTCAGTTCTAAAGATCCAACCAAATAGCAACCAAGCTTCAAGCGCACGCTGCCGACCATGCGGCCGTCCAGGAGAGTCAAGGTGCGCTCCGCTGCGTAGGGCTCTGCGGAGATGTCGAAAGTCACCCGGGACCGGACATAATCTCCTCCCAAAGCCGTGACCTCCACAGCCTCCACTGGGGCCACCTGGCTGCAGCAATGGCGAACAAAAACCTGACACAAGGCATCAGAGCCCAGGGTCTTGTGCTCCACTATGATTGCGTCTGGCCTTCCATAGGTGTCCCAGCACAGGAGTCCTTCAGCTCCCTCTTCAAATGTCAGGCCCTCATCCTCTTCGTCAACGACTGGCTTCACAGTGGCAATGAGCCTGATACCTGCTGACATCCCAACTTGAACTTGGAGCTTCTGCACGATGCAAAGTTTGCCGGTCTTCTGCACTACTACACGGCGTCCTTGCCATAGCTGGTCTACAAGTTCGCGCTCCTCTGCGGAGACTTCCAGGAATCGGTACTTTCCCACTATGAGCCTGTGCACGGTGAAGCGGTCTTGGACACAAGCCACGCGGCTCAGAACACAGCGGGCGTTGCACAGCGCATCGGCAGAGCCTTTCAGCAAGATCCCAACGCGAGACAGCGGCTGCAACTCCACACTGAACTGGTTCCTGATCGTCAAAGCATGCTCCAAAATTGCGGCGACTGCTGCAGAAGGAAGTCTTGCCGCGTCAGAGTCAGGCTGAGACAGCAATAACCCCTCGAGCGCTGCCGGCTCAGATTTGCCTTTACCCTTGCCAGCTGCTGCAGGTGCAGCCGGGGCTGCTTCAGCTGCACAATCAGCCATACCTCCTCTGCCTTTGCGTGCGTCAGCTGCTGCAAGTGCTGATGCGGCTGAAACATTCGCTTTCCAGCCCGGAGGATGGGTGAAGTAGCAGTCTGAGCGGGTGCAGGCCAGGCCTTTTGCACAATCAGCCTTGCCTCCTCCGCCTTTGCCTGCGTCAGCTTCTGCAGGTGCTGATGCGGCCGACCCGCCTTTTCCTTTCCAGCCTAGGGGATGGCTGAAGTAGCAGTCTGAGCGGGTGCAGGCCAGGCCTTTTGCACAATCAGCCTTGCCTCCTCCGCCTTTGCCTGCGTCAGCTGCTGCAGGTGAAGATGCGGCTGACCCGCCTTTTCCTTTCCAGCCTGGAGGATGGGTGAAGTAGCAGTCTGAGCGGGTGCAGGCCAGGCCTTTTGCACAATCAGCCTTGCCTCCTCCGCCTTTGCCTGCGTCAGCTGCTGCAGGTGCTGATGCGGCTGACCCGCCTTTTCCTTTCCAGCCTGGGGGATGGGTGAAGTAGCAGTCTGAGCGGGTGCAGGTCAGGCCTTTTGCACAATCAGCCTTGCCTCCTCCGCCTTTGCCTGCGTCAGCTGCTGCAGGTGCTGATGCGGCTGACCCGCCTTTTCCTTTCCAGCCTGGGGGATGGGTGAAGTAGCAGTCTGAGCGGGTGCAGGCCAGGCCTTTTGCACAATCAGCCTTGCCTCCTCCGCTTTTGCCTGCGTCAGCTGCTGCACGTGCTGATGCGGCTGAACCACCATTTCCTTTCCAGCCCGGAGGATGGGTGAAGTAGCAGTCTGAGCGGGTGCAGGCCAGGCCTTTTGCGCAATCAGCCTGGCCTCCGCCTTTGCCTGCGTCAGCTGCTGTCTTCCAGCCTGAGCTTTGGTTGGAAACAAGCTTGCGCGCGGGCACAATCAGCAATAATGAGCAACTTTGGAGCCCAAGCTGGGGCGGTGACCTTTGCCGGAGAATGACTGTGTCATGGCAGCAGGGATGGGACGTGTGAATCGCAACAAGTGATGCGTGTACCTTTCAAGATCCATATCTGACGTGGTGCACCGGATTTACAAAGTCACGAACATCAGCTGTGAGCCAACCAGAGGTGTGGCTGGGGAAAGCTAGGCGACAAGGTCAGGGAATGTGTTTGAAAGACTGCTTTATTTTCTTGGCCCTGTCACCCCCCCGCTGCCCCTCACACTGCCAACCTGTCCACGTCAGCAAAATTACCCAACCGCCTTCCCCAACCTGACAGGCCTTCCACATTCGCGCAAATTCGCGAGCGTGGATGTTGGAATGCATGGCTTTTTATGTGCATTTTGAAGAACATCTACAAATAGTTCACCCATAAAGGGCCAAGTTTGGAGCAAGTGTGCTTGTGCAAGTTGATGCGTTGTTGAGGGCCTAGAAAATGGACACTCAGAAAAATCCAATTTTGGAGAAAGTAGCTCCCTGAAAGTTGGTGCATGTCGTGCGTAATCTAGCGATTGTCGACCGAAACATATCAGCTTAGAGAATAGTCTTGGAGCAAGTGGTTCTATACAACCTGGTAGCTTGTGCAAGATGTGAAAATCATGCGGCCCCAAAGCTGGCAACTTGAGGAGAGGCGAGCTGAAAGCTGGCACAGCGTGGCGGCGAGCATGGCGCGACTATCGCAGCAAAAGCCCCGGCCCAAAAGCACGGTGCCATGCGGACTGCCTGCAATTTGGGAACTGGCAGGGCGCAGCAGGCGAATCCAACCATGCAAGCCCCAAGGCTTGCCGGGCATGAGCCGCCCAGGTCGCACAATGCAAAAACCCTGACGCGCTCAGAGCGTCTCATAGTGTCGTAATAGTGTCGTAGGCCAGCCCGGCCCGAGCGAACAACGCCCGTGGCGAAAAAAAAGCTAGACCCCGATTATCCCGAAAGCGTGTGTGGACAAGATAATGAAAGGAGCGACCAGACCACTGTTGCTCGACAGCACTAGCTTCTGATCCAACGCTGATAAACAGCATGCGGCTAAGAAGCACTGACAACGCCGTCCGGCCGCCCGGCCCCTTCACTCTAAGGTTTCGCCTTAAGGTTGCGCAAAAATAGCTCTGCAAATGTAGCTGGGCTACTTTCAAACTCGAAAAATGTGATTTCCGAGCCGGGCTGCCAAACAAGCCCAAAGTTCATCCCGTTAGACCCAACCCGGTCTAAGAAATAGAATGGAATGAGAAGCTGCGAGTGTGAGGCTGAGCGGCTGCGCAAGCAAAGCTGCGAGTGTGAAGCTGCGTGCGCGAAGCTGCGTTGAAAAGCTGCGAGTGCGAAGCTGCGTGTGCGAAGCTGCGTTTGGAAGTTGCGAGTGCGAAGCTGCGTGTGCGAGCTGTGTTTAGAAGCTGCGAGTGTGAAGCTGTGTGTGTGAAGCTGCGTTTAGAAGCTGCGTGTGCGAAGCTGCGTGTGTGAGGCTGTGTGAGCAGAGCAACGCTTTTCTCCAAAGAACCGTTTGTGCGAGCGTGAGGCTGCGCAAGCAAAGCTGCGAGTGTGAAGCTGCGTGTGTGAAGCTGCGTTTAAAAGCTGCGAGTGCGAAGCTGCGTGCGCGAAGCTGCGTTTAAAAGCTGCGAGTGTGAAGCTGCGTGTGCGAAGCTGCCTTTAGAAGCTGTGAATGTGAAGCTGCGTGTGTGAGGCGTGTGCGAAGCTGCGTTTAGAAGCTGCGAGTGTGAAGCTGCGTGTGTAAAGCAACCCTCAGGCGCCTCCCCACTGTTAGAACAGGGGAACCCCAAAAACTAGAGGACGATTGGCCCGAAAGCATTTTTCCCCCAAGCGCTTCCCATCATGTGCTTTTCCAGCCGCGGAGACGCCCTTTTACATCGATGCAACAGCTTCTGCAAAGCAGGCTCGTGTAACTTGGCTCTGTGCAACTTGGCTCTGTGCAACTTGGCTCTGTGCAACTTGGCTCTGTGCAACTTGGCTTTGTGCCACTTGGCTCTGTGCAACTTGGCTCTGTGCAACTTGGCTCTATGTAACTTGGCTCTATGTAACTTGGCTCTATGTAACTTGGCTCTATGTAACTTGGCTCTATGTAACTTGGCTCTATGTAACTTGGCTCTATGTAACTTGGCTCTATGTAACTTGGCTCTATGTAACTTGGCTCTATGTAACTTGGCTCTATGTAACTTGGCTCTATGTAACTTGGCTCTATGTAACTTGGCTCTATGTAACTTGGCTCTATGTAACTTGGCTCTGCAACTTGGCTCTGCAACTTGGCTCTATGTAACTTGGGTGCAACTTGGCTCTATGTAACTTGGCTCTATGTAACTTGGCTCTATGTAACTTGGCTCTATGTAACTTGGCTCTGTGCAACTTGGCTCTGTGCAACTTGGCTCTGTGCAACTTGGCTCTGTGCAACTTGGCTCTGTGAAGCGTGGCTCTGCTGCAAGTCTGCTCAGCGCAATGTACTTTGCTCAAGTTACGCTACACGATTTCTCACGAAAGTGGTCTGCGCAAGCTGCATTGTTCCAGGCTGCTTTCGGGCAAGTTGCTCTCTGCACGCTGCTGCACGCAAGTGCTCTGTGCAGGTTGCTCTGCGCAAGTGCTCTGAGCAAGTTGCTCTGCGCACGTGCTCTGCGCCAGTTGCTCCGTGCGAGCGCTTTGCGCATGTGCTCTGTGCAAGTTGGTCTGTGCAAGTTGCTCTGCGCAAGTGCTTTGTGCAAGTGCTCTGTGCGACTCGCAGAGCGCAAGTTGCTATGCGCCAGTGACTCTGCGCAAGTTGCTCTGCGCAAGTGCTGCCGGAGCTGTGGGAATGTACTTCGCGTACTATTTTTGAACTTAAAAGTTGCGATTTTCCAGCCGGAGCTGCGGGAGTGTGCTCCGCGTACTACGTTGTACTTAAAAGTTGCGATTTTCCAACCGGAGCTGCGGGAGCACGCTCCGCATATGTTTGTACTTACAAGCTGCGATTTTCAAGCCGGAGCTGCCGCGGACCAGGAGGGAATCGAACCCGCGACCGCGGGATTGTGAAAGCCAAGCAGGCGCGCGAGCCACGAGACAACTTCCAAAGGCCATTTCGCGAGCAACACATTCGCACGGCGCCACAGCGAGAGCGCTTCGACACGCACGATCCCCGCAGAGGGTCGCGCGCGGCTAGCAGAAATCGTAAAAAGTCCTCGCAGAGGGTCGCGCGCGCACCGCAGAAATCGTAAAAAGTCCTCAGTTTTTGAACCTCGACCACGCGGATCTCCGCAGAGGGTCGCGCGCGCACCGCAGAAATCGTAAACAGTCTTCACTTATTGAACCTCGACCACGCGAATCTCCGCAGAGGGTCGCGCGCGCATGCTAAAAATCGTAAAATGTCCACAGTTTTTTGACCTCGACCACGCGAATCTCCGCAGAGCGTCGCGCGCGCACCGCAGAAATCGTAAAAAAGTCCTTAGTTTTTTAACCTCGGCCACGCGAATCTCCGCAGAGGGTCGCGCGCGCACCGCAGAAATCGCAAAAAGTCCCCAGTTTTTGAACCTCGACCACGCGAATCTCCGCAGAGGGTCGCGCGCGGCCGGTAAAAAGTCCTCAGTTTTTGATCCTCGACCACGCGAATCTTCGCAGAGGGTCGCGCGCGCATGCCAAAAATCGTAAAAGTCCTCAGTTTTTGAAGCTCGACCACGCGAATCTCCGCAGAGGGTCGCAATCCCGAGCGACGATCAAACTCCCGCCCCGGCGCCTTAGAAACCTAAACTAACTTACATTACCTAACCTTGGCTCTGTGCCACCTGGCTCTATGTAACTTGGCTCTATGTAACTTGGCTCTATGTAACTTGGCTCTATGTAACTTGGCTCTATGTAACTTGGCTCTATGTACTTGGCTCTATGTAACTTGGCTCTATGTAACTTGGCTCTATGTAACTTGGCTCTATGTAACTTGGCTCTATGTAACTTGGCTCTATGTAACTTGGCTCTATGTAACTTGGCTCTATGTAACTTGGCTCTATGTAACTTGGCTCTATGTAACTTGGCTCTATGTAACTTGGCTCTATGTAACTTGGCTCTATGTAACTTGGCTCTATGTAACTTGGCTCTATGTAACTTGGCTCTATGTAACTTGGCTCTATGTAACTTGGCTCTATGTAACTTGGCTCTATGTAACTTGGCTCTATGTAACTTGGCTCTATGTAACTTGGCTCTATGTAACTTGGCTCTATGTAACTCTCTATGTAACTTGGCTCTATGTAACTTGGCTCTATGTAACTTGGCTCTATGTAACTTGGCTCTATGTAACTTGGCTCTATGTAACTTGGCTCTATGTAACTTGGCTCTATGTAACTTGGCTCTATGTAACTTGGCTCTATGTAACTTGGCTCTATGTAACTTGGCTCTGTGCAACTTGGCTCTGTGCAACTTGGCTCTGTGCAACTTGGCTCTGTGCAACTTGGCTCTGTGCAACTTGGCTCTGTGCAACTTGGCTCTGTGCAACTTGGCTCTATGCAACTTGGCTCTGTGTAACTTGTCCAAGACCTCCGCACGGAAGAACCCTTCGCGATGCTTTCGGGAATTGCGATTTTCCAACCGGAGCTGCAGGAGCACGCTCCGCGTACTACGTTTGTACTTAAAAGCTGGATTTTTTTTCAAGCCGGAGCTGCGGGGGTGTGCTCCGCGTACTACGCTTGCACTTAAAAGTTGCGATTTTCCAGCCTGAGCTGCGGGAGCACGCTCCGCACACTACGTCTGTACTTAAAAGTTACGATTTTCCAGCCGGAGCTGCAGGAGCACGCTCCGCGTACTACGTTTGTACTTAAAAGCTGCGATTTTCAAGCCGGAGCTGCCGCGGACCAGGGGGGAATCGAACCCGCGACCGCGGGATTGCGAAAGCAGGCGCGCAAACCACGCCACGAGACAACTTCCAAAGGCCGTTTCGCGAGCAAGAATCCGCCGAGCCCTTCTCCTCAAAGGGGAGGCGCACGGGAAGGGTGGTTGCAGTACAAGCGCATGGATTAATCTTTGAGGCAAGCATATGACTACTGGCATCATACGGATGCCCATCATCATCATCATCATCAT